ACTCCTTTACATCTGTATTAAGCATCAGCCACCATGCTGTTATTCCCTAGTTTCACTGGAAAATTTCCACACATCCCATAGTCTACCCCTGTATCATTGGTAACACCATGACTGCTGCTTCTGGGAGACAAGTGTAGGACAAGGTTTAGCAGGTCTTAGGATCGCTTCAAGCATTTGATAGGGTGCTCCAGGAAAGGGCAGTGAGCAGGCCTGGAACCATAAGCTTCAACCACTAATTGGGGATATAAGCCCACCATTGTCTTCCAGTCTGAAGTCTCAGAAACCTCAGAAGCATGAGCTGTAATGAAATCCAGTGTCTGGATTTTCAGCTGCCCTGAGCAATGGAGGTCAGCCAGAAAGAGAGTGTAGGCAGCATTCTCCACAGAGAGGTCCCTGAAGAGGGCATCCTCACACATGATCTTCAAACGCTCCAGGCCATACTTGTCAGCAGCTGCCAGCAAGGCAGCTGCCATGCTATTGAGGTCTGGTGCTGTTCCTGTGTAAATGAAGTCCATCATTGCGTTGAAGACTTGCGGCTCCAGATCAGGGATCTCAATGCGATTCTTTCTGCTCTCCTCCATGTCATGTTGAAACATGGCTCTGAAAACTGGAGAGCGAGCTGCTAAGATGGCCTTGTGAGCCCAGAATTCCTGGCCAGCTACCACTAGGCAGCAGTCTGTGAATTGGGAATTCTTCCACAGCTCTCCTAGTTCATCTGCCAATGTGCATCTGGGAACCAGAATTCCCGGCTTCTTGTTCTGCTCAGAAAGGCTCAAGGAGACCTGGGCCATGCTCACCTTGCAGACAAGGGTGAGCTCGTCATCTGGGAGAAGCCAAAATGCATGGGACAAGAGAAAATCTCGAAGAACAAACTTTTTGTAACCCCAGTCCTGGCCTGGAACGAATCTAAAAGCTCTTGGGCTCTTTTTGACATTCGTTTTCTCTCCTTCGTTGCTTATGATCCAGAACTGGAACTTTGCCCAAACAGGACTCTTTAGAGAGCTGAGCAACACTAGGTAAACTGACAGGTAATCTGCACTTTCTTCATCGACTCCATTCGGGTGTACTCTCAAACACCATTTGTCATTGGCTCCTATTGAGAAAGTGGGGCTTCTAATGCTTTGCCGCATTTCCTCAGCAACAAAGGGGAAGTTGCTGATGGTCCACCTGTAGGAGAAATCCTGAATGCTGATTTGTGTGTGGTCCCATCTCTGGGCGATCTCATCTCCTGCCATTTCTCCTGCAGGTAGTTTGAAGGTTCAACTGGATTGAAATTGAAGAACTAGCAATTGTTTTCTCTTCACCCTGAGAGACGCAATAACAGACAGGATTTTGGTTTTTAGTTTTTGTTTCTCATTTATTCCCTTCTCTACGAGGCAGAAAAATTGGGTCTCTGATATTTTCTATGAAGATATCAATACTAATTTAAGAGAACAGAGTCTAGGCTATTTGATAACACTTACATCACTCCATTATTTTCTAGATTGAATATTAGGTCAATAGGTGACTTGTTTTGACAATTATTCACAACTTTTGGGTAGTTTTGATCATTCATTCTGGTAATTCATATAAAAAATGTTGCAAGAGGGTTCTCTAGAGGAACAGAATATATGCAAAGAATCTCTATATATATATCAACAATTGGGATTTGTTAGAATTATTTTGGTCTGCAGTCCTGCTAATCCCAAATTGCCTTTAAAGGGAAAGACTAAGATTCCAGTACTTACTCAGCCCAGGACTTTGGATGTGTCTGCTGGACTTCACTATATGCTGGTGTTCCAAATATTCTCTATTGCCAGGGATGGGATGGACTTGCTGCAAGGTGAGGGCAAGCAGGCAAATAGCAAAAGCTTCTGGCTTCCATGTCCTTTTATATGCTTCCAGCAGAGGGTGTGGCCAAATTTAGGGTGTGTCTTCCAACCTCAAGATCTGGATTAAAGGTGTGTGTCTTCAGGCCCTGAGATCCGGATTAGATGTTTGTTTCTTTTTACTTCCAAAGTCTGTCCTTGAAATGGATCAACCCACATCAAATGAAACAAAACACTTCTCACTATTATGACCTCCACTTTAGGGTTTTAGTTAATTCCATGTCTTGTTAAGTTGGGAACCAACAAAAACTACCACAAGTGTATTTTGCTTATTGTGGATTCATATTAAATAAAATAGGGTAGGCATCCATTCCTACACAGCTGTTATTTCCTCTTCTCAGGGTTTTACACAAATTTTTCCCACTAACATGAACAGGAAAGAAGTGGTTCCTTACCCTGTGAGGGGTCTCAGTTTTCACAACATGGAGGTCAGGGTGGAAGAATTCATATATGGTGGTCAAGAAGCAGAGCCAGGCAGCAACTCTGAAAGTGGCAGTCTTCTTTCATCCAGACTCACATTCCCTGGGATGGCTCCACACACTTTCATTGGTGATCTTGCCCCTCCCCCTCAGATAATCCTCCTTGGAAAAACTGTTCTTGATCCACTATGAGAAGATCCTCAATTCTCAGTTCCATGAAGCTGACTGCCATGATTCAGATTTTCAATACCTCATAATTTTCATCCTCCACTGGTGAGTTCTGTCCTCTTTAAACTTTGAACTTCCATGCTTACTCTAATGGGCCTTAAAAGTGAGACAG